TTTTTTTTTTTTTTTTTTTTTTTTTTTTTTCCTTTTGGTACAGAAAGCATGTATGTGTTTTAAAGAAAGAAAAAAAAAAAAACAAAAAAAAATAGTTAAATTTTTTTTTTGGGGAGTCGACCTAAACTAAACAGTTGAGCCAAACTGTCATCTCTTATCTGTCGAAAGAGTTAGAGTTGGAATATTTAAAGTTGGAGTTGGAATCATATCTAAAAATTGGATCTGAACATGTCCATTAGGTGCATATATTAAAATTGGAAATTTAAATGTAATTTCAATTCAACTAAATTAAAAATTAATTAATTCATAATATATTTAATTCTTAATTCTTAGTTAAAATCTTAAGAATTATAATTCTTAGTTCAGTCAGATCTTAAAGAATTATAATTCTTAGACATAAAAGTTTAAAATTGATGGTTTGGAATATTGTTTTTTTGTTTATTTTGTACCAGTGTGATGGATTGAAATATAATTCTTAACAAAGAAACAAAAGTTTAAATTTTTTATATGTTTTCGGATCTTTATTACGAGATAATTATAATAGAACTGCACGTGTTAATATAAATAGTTGTTTTTCTAATAATTTTTAAAATATAATATGATATATTTCTTACTTTTGTTATTTATTATTAGTGGGATCAAAGTATATCATGTCTCCAAATTTGTTTAGAGATATTTAACGATTATTAATGTTTGTTAAATTAACGATGTTATGTTTAGTCTTTGAATTTGAAGATTTTGAATTTATAAGAATAATTAATTATTAATATTATTTTATTATTTAAAAATTTAAGCGTAAAATAGTTTAAAAATTATGTACATGAAAATAGAAAATCATTTTCATATATTGGTATAGATTAAATTCTCATAAAAGAGATAAAATATTACTTATGTACCAATAATAATTTATAGATATTTTTTCGTTATTTAATAATAAACATAAATACTCATAATCTTTAATAAAATGTTTTATAAAGAGAACTACCCTTTTTTTTCTCTCTTCATAATGATAAATAACTATTCTTTTAAATTATGTCTTTAACGATATAGATAAAGATGTATTGTCTTCATCTCTCTACTTATAAGATCATTTTAACTAAATTATATTATTTAAGAAAGTTAATTAACAATATTAAATTTGTTAATAATTTAAACTACGTTTTTCGAAATTAACACTCT